GGGGGACCCCACACTGACTTGGGAAGAACATGCAAACTCCACACAGCACCCTGGCCAAGGCTCAAACCCTGGTCCCCGAAGGTGTGAGGTCAGAGTGCTACCACTGCATCACTGCATCACCAAGACACTCAGGCTTTCCTACTTTAGGCTTAAAAAATCCAGGTAGACATCATGCGATAAGAACTTTCATTGTTATTGCCTTTTGTCATAAAATTCAGTTTCACAACAGGCAGGCCAAGGCTGGGCTTGAACCCATGACCTTCTGATCACAAGCCAATGACCTGAAGAGAGAAAGAAATGTATTACAAGGCATGATGGGAAGGTGTGGGGCGAGTGGACCTCCTGGGAGAGGTGTGATGGTGTTCCAGAAGGGGGACAGGCAGGGCAGAGGAGGCGTGTATCAGTCGACCCTGCACTGATGTCTTCTGCATGCCCTTAGGGAACGTGTGACCAGCGCCATCTGCATCCCACTGGCCAGCCAGAAGAGGTGAGTGTTGTTCTGGAGCGACCGGCTCTGTGGTCATCACATGTTTGTTTGCGGCCAGCTTGTGGAGGGACCTCCCTGGTCACATGGTCCCTCTGTGAATCTGTGTGCAGGAGCTCTACCGGCCGTCCCGACTGGACCTGCATAGTAGTGGGCTTCAGCACCGGATACGTGCGCTTCTACACAGAGGTAACGTGCATGACTGCCCTTGCTGCATGTGACTGTATGCTGATTGGCCAGCGCTCACTCCATCTGACTTCTGATTGGATGGGTGGTGTTTGTGAGTGTTCCCGTGCGGCGATCATCCTGCATTGTGTTAAATCGCCTTTCAGAGTGGCGTGCTGCTCCTGGCGCAGTTGCTGAATGAGGACTCGGTGCTGAGGCTCAAGTGCAGGACTTATGAGATTCCTCGCCACCCTGGGGTCACAGAGCAGGTACCCAATACGCCCTGGTTCCTGCATCGCCCTCGCTATCGCCCTCGTCTCCACCACAATGACAGGTCTTACTTGTGTCTCCCAGCATGAGGAGCTGAGCATCCTGTACCCGACGTCCCTGGTCACCATTGATGGCTTCAGCCTCTTCCAGTCGCTGCGGGCATGCAGGAACCAGGTGGCACGAGGTACTGCGGGCCGTTACTCAAGCATGAGGAGCCCTCACGGCCAGCTGTGCCAATAGTCACTTTGGGTTGGTCCTTTACTTACTCATTCTCTCTCCTCTGCACCGCCTCTTTCTTCACCCCTCGCCTGTGATTGGACGGCAGCGGCAGCGGCAGGAAATGACATGGTGCAGCCCCCGCCCCTGGCCTACAAGAAGTGGGGTCTCCAGGATATGAACGCCATCGTAGACCACAGCAGCGTGGGTGAGACGGGTGGCCTGTGATTGGCTGAACTGAGGAAGTGTCCAGGAAGTGAATTTGTGGGAGATTCTCACAAAGCATCAGTGTAGGGGGAGAGGGGGCGGGGCCACGTCTAGGGTATCTGAGTGTCTTAACGTGTTCTCTCATCCCCTTAGGTATCATGACGCTGTGTGTGTTTGACCAGATGAGGAACGCCTCTGTCTTGGGGGGCTTCCATGCAGCTGTGAAGGGCAGCCCCCCCGCCATGTGCCAGTACATCACCGTGGGTGGGGGGCCCTTCACAGGATTCTACTATGCTATAGAGGTGAGTGAATCGAGTGAGTGAATCAGCCTGCTTCTTAAAGAGTGACTACCTGCTTTCAGTGGCCTGTCTGTGTGCAGGGCAGTTCCCAGCCTCTCCTCTCCCACGTGGCTCTAGCTGTGGCCAGCAAGCTCACTTCTGCCCTCTTCAGTGCTGCCAGGTCAGTGCATATGTCGGTATATATCAGCTCTGCATTGCGGTGCACAATATATTGGTAAAAAGATCGGTATCGGCCGACATTTGTTAGTAATCAAGACGTAGGCGGTGGTCTGGTGTGTCAGTCTTGGGCGATATTTCCGACCATAATGTAGACTTTTGTTTTTTTTTCCTTCTATCTGGCGTTATGCTGATATTTTTAAGGGTGCTATTTTAGTCATGTTAGACAAAAATTATCGTCGTTGGCCAAAACGTGCACGTCAGCGTAACGCTAGGTCTGCGCCTGACGGGGGTTCCTCCCTTCTGCAGCGGCTGGCTCGGCTGGAAGCACAAGCACAAGCACGAGGAGGACCCGGCCCAGAAGCAGAAGCCCAAAGTGGAGCCAGCCACTCCCCTCGCCGTCAGGTGCTGTGCGGCTGGCGCCCCCTGCTGTTCTTTCTATGCTTGTGCACGATGTCACGTCAGGACTAAATAAAGATGACTCGTGAGTCATCAGATGGTTTTCTTTTTTTTTTTTCTTTCGCAGATTTGGACTGCCGGACTCGCGGCGCCATGGGGAGTCCATCTGCCTGTCGCCGTGCAACACGCTGGCCGGCGTGACTGATGACTTTGGGCGGGTCACCCTACTGGACGTGGGGCGGGGGATCGCCATCCGCATGTGGAAGGGTGAGGAAGGGGGTGGTGTGTAACTCAGGGTTAGAACATTGTGCATGTGATCAGAAGGTTGTCGGTTCAAATCCCAAGAACGGCAGAATGATTTTACCGTCAGGCCACTGCGCAAGGCCCTTGACAGTGGTTTCTTAATAGTGCATCATTTTGGATTAAAATTGTCTGGTAAACCATGTAATCCCTCGCACAGGGTACCGGGATGCCCAGCTGGGCTGGGTGCAGGTGTGCGAAGGGCGGGGTGAGCGGGAAAAGGCCACCTCCCCCTCTTTGCCTCGCCGCCACGCCCAGTTCCTGGTCATCTACGCGCCACGCCGTGGCATCCTGGAGGTGTGGGGCACCCAGCAGGGTCCCCGTGTGGGGGCCTTCACCGTGGGCAAGCACTGCCGGTAACCGTGACAACCCACACACGCACACATGCTTACCCACAATGCGGTTAGGCTGCGTTTTATTGCCTAACCTATGAAGGAAGACTAGAGCATGTAGGTTTTAACAAAGAACACCCTTTGAAAATAAAGGCTACTGCTCACATATAAATGAATTCACATCCTCTGTACTTTTATAAATATAAAGATCGAAAGGAAGCACTGCTTCTTATCATTGCTGTATTTCCTGGCGAAAGGAAGCACTGCTTCTTATCATTGCTGTATTTCCTGGTATCTGTCTCCTGTCAGTGATGGTTAGCAAGCTGCAGTTGGCTAATTCTACCCCCCCCATGTCAATGCAGGCTGCTGTACACAGGCTACCGGCTGATGGGCGTGAACAGTGTCACCAGCCAGGGCTGGCAGCTCCACACCCAGCAGCTGTGCCTGTTGGACCCGGCCACCGGAGCTCTGCGGACGGTCACCGTGCCCTTTCACCTGGCCCTCAGGTGCGTGGAGCAGAACACACACGCCACACACACGCCACACACACGCCACATGTCCCAAACGCGTGACAGCGCCTCCTTGTGCCTGGCAGTGATAAGAAGAGCGAGCGAGCGAAGGACATGCACCTGCTGAAGAGGTTCAACGCGCTCCTGAGGAGCAGAGGGATGGAGCCAGGTGAGGGGGTGGGGCCAAACAGGGGTGGGGCCAGGTGAGGGG